ATTGTATATTAACACCAGGTTGAGATTTTTTGTGCTTTTCTTCAGCAGATATGGAATCCTTCGTGAAAGTGCTATTGGCTTTAATTTGCTCTCAAGGACATAGTCAGAGAGGACGAGAGGTCTATGCTCAAATCAAACCTGTTAAAGCTGGAGATGTTCTCGAGAAGAGTAATCTGCAATTCTCCATCGATCTCTATAAGGTGATTCCTCGCTTCCTTGCTTTTTCGTTTCTGATAGTTGTAAGCATCCATTGCAGGTATGTTACTTTCGTGTTTTCTTTTTAACACTTGTCGGAGCTGGTTTTATCGTTTTATGATTATATTTCGATTCTATACGAATTACTGAGATGTAAGACCTTGAATCGTTGTTGTATGTCAACTGAAAATCTGTTTTCCAGAGCATGACCATATTGAATGTTACTAGGAATCGGTAAAGAGAGAAGGGAACGTGTTCTTCTCTCCCTGGAGCCTACAAACTACTCTGGGGATGGTGTATGCTGGGGCGGAAGAAAGAACAAAATCTCAAATGCAGAAAGCTCTCTCTTTTCCATCAAACAACTCAGACGATCTCATCTACGAGGGGCTCCATCGAAATCTCATCAGTATCCAGGTAACTATTGTTATTTTGAGTGATGGGCAACATTTTCTGACTACTGCATTTTATTGCTCAGTGCAAACAAATATACAGCATTAAGTCGTGCTGGTGATTTGGCACACGAACTCATGAACAAGATTTGGGTGGAGATCGCTTTTGTGAAATTTTATTGACACGAAAAATGGTATAAGTAAAATTTTCCAGCGTCTACAATAACGCAACCGCCACGATCACCAGAGATGCCTGTGTTACATTTTGCACATTACCTCTTTTCATGTTAAGTTTCCGTTACCTGGGTTCCGCTTTCTTTCAAACGACTTTGGCATCCGGGTATGGATGTCAACGCATGGCTTTCCCATGCGTTAATGTTGGGGTCCCCGAAAGGTCAAAATCAAACGACAAAGGGCGACATGCACCTTATCCGTTTAAGCTAAACTAATCTGATTTCACAATGGTCCCTGATGGGAATTAGTTTAACAGAGATAAACTTATTCCCGTAGACGCCCATTATGAAAACGAATCAGTTTAAAGTTAAACGGATCTGGTGCATGTCACCCAAAAGCTGTAAGAAGGCAGGCTGTTTCCCTCATGTTACGTAGGCCATCTCATTTCTATCTCATGCACAAATTTGACACTTTTACATTCTTATCCTGAAATTCAGA